AAGGTTGAGATGTACAAAATTTGACGGCTAATGTTTATCTACAATGTTGCAGGTCTTGGCAGCAGTCATTAAAGCAGGTGCTTCTAGAGAGCACGAAATTCTTGCTGAAATCAGAGATGCAGTTTTTGCTTTCATCCGGAAAATGGAACCAAAGAGAGTCATGGATACCATGCTTGTTTCCCGTGTTAGAATTTTATATATAAGATCTCTGCTTGCTAGATCACCTGAGCTGCAGTCCATCAAGGTAACAATATATTAGATGCTGGTTTATCTATCACCTTGTATAGTCTGTTGCATCCTTATCTAGATGTATAGGCGTATTTCATCTATTTCATTTGTAGGTTTCTCCTGTTGAATGCTTTCTAGAAAAGCCTTATTCAGGACGTAGTAGAAGTTCCAGCCGGAGTAACAGCCCTGGAAGATCTCCTGTGCGCTATGTTGATGAGCAGATCCAAGGCTTTAAAGTAAATATAAAGCCAGAAAAGAAGTCAAAGTTGTCGTCAGTTGTTTCAAGGATACGTGGACTTGATCAGGTATGTGCCACAAGTCTTTGGTTCTTTTCCTTTTTGTGTGTGGGCTGGAGAAAACCCAAGCCCTGTCGCTGCTGGTGCTTCTTTCTATCAATTGTTCTCAGTAAAACAAATAGTTATATATGTGTCATTCCTATGATATATTGGAGACATTTGTCTGGCTGAAAATATCTTGATGTGGCTTGGTGACTATCAAAAGTTTCTTTAACAAGACTGCAATTAAATGCGCAGGATTCCCTGAGGCAGCAGCAGGTTACTGGTGGAAAGCTCAGAGAAATACAAGAGGAAGCCAAAAGCTTTGCAGTTGGAAACAAGGCTCTTGCTGCTCTTTTTGTACATACTCCTGCTGGTGAACTGCAGCGGCAAATTAGGTCCTGGCTTGCAGAAAACTTTGAGTTTCTTTCTGTTACAGGGGATGAAGCATCAGGGGGGACCACTGGTCAGCTAGAGCTTCTTTCAACTGCTATTATGGATGGTTGGATGGCTGGACTTGGTGCTGCGCTGCCTCCTAATACAGATGCTCTTGGTCAGCTTTTGTCAGGGTATGCGAAGCGGGTCTTCACTTCTCAATTGCAGCACTTGAAGGTATGGCAGTTACCTCAAGGATAGGAGTTAAGCTATCTGTTTGGATGCAATCATACAGGCCTTAAAGTTCATGGGAAAAGAACTTTTTATAGAATGTGGGAAAAGTACAACCTACAGGAAGAAAAAGAAACATGTCCATTATGTTTATTTACACCTGTATGATCCTTAAAACTAACAGAATGAACTCTTGACAGTAAGTTCAGCATGCTGGACCTCACATCTAAGTGCATAAATCTCTAACGACTACCATTTGCCTTTTTACTCAACAAATAATGGTAAGCAGTCACCTTTAGCGAGAGGGTGCGAGGAATTTCTGCTACTATTCTTTAACCACAAATAGCGTAAATTTCATTGCCTTGATGTGGTTCCCATTAAAACATTCCCTTGTGCCTTTTTGGGCTAGATTTTTGAAAAACTAATAAAAAGGTGGAAGGTGGTGAATTCTAGATTTAATGTAAATGTGTTTCTTCCTCTGCTATTACCTTAATTTCATAATTGAGACTTTCAAATTGAAAGGAATTGTTCACCAAATATATTTTTCCTTTATCTGGTCTTGTTTATGGTGTTCCAGTCTTTCTGTTCTTTGTTTTTTAAATTCTTGTCTTAGCTTTGTGTTTTTTGGGGATTTGCTCTAATAGTGGCCTATACATGGCGCTAGATGCTTTTTTTAGCTATGTTTCTTGTATATTGTGACTAGTAGTGGCTACAGTGTCATATTTTTATTTTATTTATTATTATTTTGAATTCTCAAGATGTGCTTGTTTCCTACAAATTCTTCTTCCCCCACTCCCACCTCACCCCTCCAAAAAAAAGGATAAAAAACTCCAATTGTATGATTTATTGTAGACATTCCTAATATCACTTTCCTTTGTCAGGATATTGCTGGCACTCTAGCAGCAGAAGAGGCGGATGATGCTGCCCATGTGGCAAAGCTCCGTTCAGCTCTTGAATCTGTTGATCACAAACGAAGAAAGGTAGTTGTTTCTTTCAATGATCGAACTCTTTTTCTACCCATAAATATTTTATAATTATCTTTCCTATATGGTTTTGCCACTGTTTTATCCAAAGTTGATACTTGTTACTAGATGTGTTGTGCATACTGTTGGTTATCTTCTTCCATTTAACTAGGCAATTTTACTGGTGTTTTCTTACATCATTGTGGGTGTAATGGAAGTTGAGAAGATAACAAAAAGGAAGAGGATTTTATATTGTTTGAGCTGAAATATTAGAAGCGCTAAATGTTCTATCCAACATTTGAGGTAGCTTTTTTACAGACATATTTCTGGAGCTAGCCTTCATGTTGTAGCATGAGTAAAAAATTCATTTTTGTTAGCAAGAGAAATCTTGTGACTGCTGATTATATTTGTTGGGATTTATTGAACAAGGCCTTGACTCTTTAAAGATGATTTTTGGGGTGGACCTGATTGCCTAAATCAGAATGCCCATCACCCTTGCCTTGACGTGCTGAATGAGAAATTTGTTCATCATGGTAGATTGCTTCATGTATTAGGAAAATGGATAATAAATAAAAATATTGATTCACTAATTTGTTCTGGATGAAAGAATAATAAATTTTTATTCTTTCTATTCAATATCCTTTACCCCATTGTTCTTGTCTATGATATTTCTTCTTTTATGGGAAACCTGAGAAATTGCTGTCAAGCTCAATTAGAATTCTGGATTAGATTGAATGATTCATCTGTTTTGATCTCATGTTCTTTAACATTTTGAATTTCAACTCCAGTTGACATTGTTTGGTGTACCGTTATCTGCTTGTTTTTGTCCCTTTAGTACCATTGTTAGCTGCATTTTGCTTGAGGATGAACATAAGCTGAAGCAATATCTTGTTTTTATCCAAAATTGTTTGCAGACAGATTAAATGTTATTTCTTTGCTGTGAGCAGATTTTGCAACAAATGAGAAGTGATGCAGCGTTGCTAACATTAGAGAATGGTGGTTCACCTGTTCAGAATCCTTCTACTGCAGCTGAAGATGCCCGTTTAGCATCTCTGATTTCTCTTGATGGTATATTGAAGCAAGTCAAGGTTGTTAGCTATTCTAAAAATTGTTGTGTACTTTACTAGATGATTTACAGTAGAATAATAAGAAAATTAACATTACTCTTATATATGAACAGGATATAATGAGGCAGTCCTCTGTGAGCAGCATGAGTAGAACTAAGAAGAAAGCGATGTTAGCATCTCTAGATGAGCTTACGGAACGGATGCCCTCCCTTCTTGACATTGATCATCCATGTGCTCAGAGGCAAATTGCAGATGCTCGGCGCCTGGTTGAGGTATGAAATTGCTTTTTGAGTATTTCTAGAGCTGCAGGTTTTCTTCAACCTATGCTTCGTACTTGTTGATTAAAGGAATTTTCTGGAATGGGAATGATTTGATACTAGGTTTCCATGGTTTTTTCTTATATGTTGATCTGGATGGTTTGGCCAAATAGTCATCATTCCTAAAATGTCTGAAATCTATGCTGCTATTTTCCAAAAAGCTTAAGGTGTCTAATATCAGTATGAATCATTCTCTCTGTGTTGTGAATGAGACATGTGGTTTGCGTATTTGGCTTGGCTGCATCCTGCGTGTGGAGAACTGTTTGAACCTGGGCTTTCTATTTGTAGGGTTGTTACTAACAAGATTGACAAAACAATATGAACAAAGTAGACTGTCCAGTGCTCCAGTAGGAACATGACTTCTTTTTTAGATAATTTTACTCTAATACTTTTGATAATTGAATTACAAAGTTTTACAGTTGTCGTGACTACTAAAAGAATAGCAAAGAAGAATTATGTTTATTTTATTAGCAAGATGCTAAGTTGTAGAAGTGGGTTTTATTTGTCCCATGGGGAAACTGGAAGGGGGAATTTCTAAATATTTTAAACGCAATTAATATTTGAATTTTGATGATATATTCTGTACAAATGCTTTCTAGATTCTAAACCTCATGCTGCATCTGATATGTTATTGTAGTTTCCATTTATGGTATTTCAAGTGTTTTTCTCACTTGCTCTTTAATCTGCCATGCATTCCTGCAGTCAATCAGTGAAGAGGATGATCACATGCAAGAGACGAACCATGCTCGAAAGCCATCTGCAGATTTGGGATCTGGTACTGAAACTGATGTGGCACAGTGGAATGTATTACAATTCAACACAGGCTCAACAACCCCATTTATCATCAAGTGTGGAGCAAATTCAAATTCTGAACTGGTCATCAAAGCCGATGCCCGGGTTCAGGAACCCAAGGGTGGTGAAATTGTGAGGGTTGTTCCAAGACCATCTGTTTTAGAAAATATGAGCTTGGATGAAATGAAACAAGTATTCTCAGAGCTTCCGGAAGCTCTTAGCTTACTTGCATTAGCTAGGACTGCAGATGGCACTCGAGCTCGGTATTCTAGGTTGTACAGGACTTTGGCAATGAAGGTTCCATCACTAAGGGATCTAGTCGGCGAGCTCGAAAAAGGGGGAGTACTGAAAGACGTGAAGTCGTGAATGCAAAAGGGAGTTAAAAATAAATTAGAGAATACCTTGCTTTCTAATGTGGAATGCTTGGGTGGGGTTTTTTGTTTACATTTAGGGAGCTTGGTTTGGCAGAGACAACCTGGTCTGGTGTTTGTAAACCTGTATTTTGCAGTGCTTTGTTGCGATTTGCAAAGGGAATCATTGTATTGGAAGCTGGTTAGTAAACTGTTGATGCCCATTGTATCACACGTCGCCATGGCTGCTATTGCGGCTAATTTTCATGGCAATTTTGTGCAATTTGATACCATCATTTCCTTGCAAGCTGCAGCAACCAACAGTCTTTTTTATTTTTGACACCATCTGTTTCCAGTCACCTTGCCATTGGTTAGAAAACAAAAAAAAAAAAACAAAGGTTATCGAAGAGGAGATGTAGAATAACCTGGCCTCTTCGTAAGAAAAAGCCTATTGACAGAAATGTCCTTATAAAGTCATTCTCGAAGACGAGCTCCACAATTCGTTAGACACGTTCAAATCTCGCCTTGCCTCTCAGCTAACGGAAATGTCCCTCCCTATGTATGTGTTCGTGTATCTATATATAATCTATCTCCCGTCAGTCCTCACTCTCTCGTTCGTCTCTGACTGAACTCCACTGATTAGACTCAAGTAATTTAGGGATTTTGAGCATTTCCTAATTCGAACTCCTTAAAAATGCGGCCACTCACCTGCACCAAACTGGCTTTGATCACTCTAACCGGAGTCATCATTCAAATCATTGGCCTTTCTCTGTTCGTCTTCGGCTTTTTTCCCATCAAACCGGCTCTCTCCGGCACCAGGTAAACAATTTTCCATTCAAAAACAAACAAAAAAGAATGTAATTTTCAATTTAAAATTTATTTTAATTTTCTTTTCGGCATTGCTTTGCTTCATCTTCAGTGGCTCGGAGAGTTTCCGCTTACCTATTTGCAACTCAGTTGGGAATCAAAGCGACACGATTCTGCCGTCCGATCCACTCAGATCGCTATATAAGGTTCGTTCTAACAGTAGTTATAACATAAAATGAAAAAAAGCAAAAAACTGTCTTTTTTTAATGGTTTTGAAAATTTGAAGTTATTTTTTCTCTAATATAGGAATTATCGGGGATTCCATCTTCGTTTGATAGGCTAATTTTAATGGTAAGTAAGTTTTGGTTTGTTTGTTTGATTAATTTTTAAGGATAAGTTTGAGTTTTTGTTGTATGATTTACAAGGATTTTAGTTTAGTTTAGGTTATTGATGGTCTTCCAGCAGAATTCGTGCTTGGCAAGAATGGGAAACCTCCTAGTAAGCAATATTTGGAAGCTATGCCTTATACTCAGTCATTGCTAGCCAGTGGATTGGCTGTTGGTTACCATGCTAAGGCCGCCCCTCCAACTGTCACAATGCCTAGATTGAAGGTGTGGTCTTTTATTCATGTTCTTAAAGGAAAATGTTACATACATCCATCCAATTGCATCAGCTGTGGCCCAGCATATCAGGATTCAGTTCGGTCATTGCAGAATACACCAGACCAAACGTGTCATTTATTTGAAAAAGTTATTGTTATTAAAATGTGGATTCATATATGCTGATAGGACTAATTTTACAAGGTTTTGCATTCTGATTTTTGGGTTACAACGTATGCAATAATTTCTCCTAGTTAAAGATGTAGGAAAAAAGTATAAGGTTTGTGGGATATGGTTTTGACCTCACAGCATTAGCTTGTCATTCTAGGCTATGGTGTCCGGTGCAATTGGAGGATTCTTGGATGTGGCATTTAATTTTAACACGCAGGCTATGTTGGACGACAATCTTCTTGGTTAGATCATATAACTTTCTTGAAGTTCTGTAATTGATGACTACTTGTTGTTTTTAAGGAATCTATTGACGGGTTCAACTTCATTGTTCACTCATATGGTTTGCAGGCCAGTTTTTCAGGATTGGTTGGGAAATGGTGATGCTTGGTGATGAAACATGGCTGAAGTTGTTTCCTGGGGTATTCAAAAGGCATGACGGTGTTAGCAGCTTCTATGTATCTCTCATTCTTGGCATGCAGTCTTTTCTCTTTGAAGTATAAAAATTAAGTAAACTGATTTGTGACATTTACTTCAATTTGGACTTGATACAGGTTAAGGATACTGTGCAAGTAGATCAAAATGTTTCGCGACATTTGGGAGATGAGCTTAGTAGAGATGACTGGAATCTTATGGTTAGCATTTGTTTTTTTTTTAAATGATCTAAATAGAAATATCTTGTAATATTTTTTATTGTGATATATGTCTCAGTTTCCTTTTATTTACTTTTTGATTATTATAATTGGAGAAACTTAACACAAGAAACATCAAAGGGTGCCAACTTAAGTCCTTTCTACCTTTCTTCGAGTTAAAATGGTCATGGCTACCAATTCATCTTTCCTTTCATGCTATTCTGGTGCTGGTGGTTAAGGTGGTCTTTGATTTTTTTTTAATGAATATTTTTCTGGTCCATTTCTCTGACATTCAGTATAAACTGTAGTAACATAAAGGCCTGTGTAATTTGTGAAGTTTCATTTTCAGCTTTATAGGTTTCTGTTTGGGATTTGAGCATGTGTTTCTTTGTGTTAGAGGTGTTCATGGGCGGGGCCAGGCCCAGTTGACACCTCTAAAAGCTAGTGGCAGGCCGGACCTACCCAGATCTGTCCATTTAAGCCCTTTGATTAAATTTATTATTAAAATAGAAAAAAATTTTATAATAATATTTTCATTTTTTAAATATATTTTATATTTTAAATTAAACTAAATTTTTATTAATATTATATTGTCCCAGGTCAGGCTGGGCCCACCTAGAATATCCTGTCAAGGCCCAGCCTCAGTCTGCTTGTTGGGCACCGGCCCAAGGACAGGTTTATTTGTGGGCGTCTTGTCAAACATTTTAGTTACACACTTCAGGTGTTTGTTGTCTTATTTGGCTCCAACCTGTATGCTGAGCTGTCTTATATGTAAATTCCTTATAGTTAATGGAGTTTTCATTGACTACTTTGAAGGTTAATATAATATGCCAATACTATGTACTTTGTTGGTGTTTTATATTGAAAGCACAGGGATGCTTTTCTGTCATTGTCTTAATTTAAGTGCATGTTCTTTGTTAATTTACTTCCAGTGTTTCTTGATATGGGAATCTTGTCTTTTAGAGATTTCTGCCTCTTTAGAACTCCTCTGTTTGCAAATACTTGAAAAACAGTGATTATGTTGTATAAACTTAAGAGTGGCATGAATGTAGCATGATGTCATGCAAGCACTCCAATAATTAGAAAGGGACTCTGGTACAGTCTATATTGAAAAGTAAAATATGGTTCATGATGCAATAAAAAAAATGGCCCTAGATTGAGCGGAATGAGAGTAAGATTTTCTGTTTGCGTGGTTTTCTCTTTGTAGTTTGATTGGGCTTTATTGAGTTGTGTTGGGCCTGCCTATTGGTTGTAGTCTCTTCACTTTGTACTTCTGTACCACTTACCTTGATTTACATCTCTTATGCTATTCTAATGTTAAGCAGTGGTCTGATCACACCTTAGTAAGAACTTTTGCATTTCCCATGCTGATGCTCTTGATAAACTCTCTGTATTATGAGAATGAGAAGTTACTATTTTGGATATATGAAAGTGCCCAAATACAAATTTGCATTAGTAATTATATTTAGTTATTCTAAAAGCTAAGCTGAAAATTTGATTTTTGAATTATTTGTTTCTTGGTGGTACACTTCACCTCCATTGTGGCATGATTTTAATTGGTACTATTTCCAGATTCTGCATTATCTAGGCTTGGATCATGTTGGACATATCAGTGGCCGGAGCAGGTACTTTTTATATGGTTAGGTTATGCCTTTATCTTCATATGAGCTAAATTGCAATCTTATTCTTCAATTCAGGCTATAATTGGATTCTGAGGCAACATGTTCTTGAGATGCACTTCCCATCCTCAACATCTGCATAAGAGATTTTAATTCAAAACGCAAATGACTAATGTCTGTCGTGCTAAATACATATACATATATATGTGTACATACATGCATATTACTAACATTTGCATCAAACATTGTCATTAGAACCTAAATGAGTAACATTTGTTGCTATACATATTTGTGGAACTGCCTACATTTCATTATGATCTAAATGCAGCCTTTTGGCATGAGCTGTGTTTTAAATGATGATCAATATGTTGTTTTACTTTGAATTTTTCTTTTTGGGATAAATATGGTCACTAAAATTATATCCTTTTCTCTCTCAATTTTTTTTTTCTCTCTCTTGACTAATTCCTTCTCAAATTTTTTCTTTTGTTTGATTGGCTTTGGATCAAATTGTATTTGTGAATCTAGATGACAGGCAAAGCTGGATAAAATAATGATACATAAAGACTAAAGTAGAGAGCAGTTTAATTATAAATCTTGATATAAGTCATGAATGCTTATAAAATAAAAAAGATATGAGTCATGAACATGAGCTATAAAGTGAGCTTATTAGCATATTTGGTCAATTTTATTGACTAAGAGATGTAAGTGAAAGATACATATATTTGGCTAATTTTGCACATATACATAGGAATAGTGTAATTCTTGACACATTTCCATTTTAAAGTATAGGTTGGTGCATTTTTTGGGACGTTACTCATTATTTGCTCTTTGCCCAGTAGCATTACTTATTGGATGATTCACGTCTCGTCTCTTGGCTTCTTTTTTTTTTTTAATTTCTCTTTCATTTTTAGTATTACTTTCAGGACAATTTGTGTTTGCAGTATAAAATATTTGATTTGTGTTGCGTCGAAATGAGGTGTAATTGTCAATTCAGTATCCTTATATCACCTTTTCCAGTAAAATGCATGTTTGAAGTCTAATATGATCAAAACTCAAGGATGCTAGAATAATTTAGCCATCTTATTAATATGATTTTTTCTCCTTTTGTTACTTGATATACATATTGGTTTGCATGGTGGGAAAATAATTGTTTGTTTGGTTGTTGTTGTATTTTTTGAATCTCATTTGCATGTTTGTTCATCTGTTTTAGTGTGTTGATGGCCCCAAAACTAAAGGAGATGGATGAGGTGGTGAAGTTGATTCATTCAAGTACTACTCAGTCCCAAGGAAATGCCAGAGGGCGGACACTTTTGGTTTGTGCTATTTAATGCTTCTTGAATTACTGATATCAAACTGATATACTGGCTCCGAATAATTGGATTCCTACTTTTCTGGAATCTTGTAAGATTGATAATTTTGATGTATAATCAGAGAGTTTCCTAAAATATAGGGGAAAATTGGAGGAATTAATGCAGTAAAATTGGCCCCCAGTCATGGATTTATCTCCAGCCCTTTCTATGATTGTTATTTGACAATTACACCTGGATTTAAAATTGTGGTTTTCATTTTGTGAAACTACCTCTGTGTACTTGGTAGAAAGATTTTTGAGGTGCCAATAAATATTTTGTAATGATATACAGACTAGATAGTGATGAGCAGCATTGTGATTGCGTGTGCTTGAATATGCTTGCTTATATATGCTTATATGTGTGTATGCAAATTCTTTTTCATGACAGTCATCGATGCTTGTGGAAAAGGGAATACAAACATAAGCTTTTGTAAGCCAATTACTAATTGGAATGTGGGTGTGTTTATTTGCATGCATGCAAGTTCTTATTGATGATAGTCATTTAACAGTTATGGAAATGGAAATGATATATAAGCTGTTGCTAGGCAATTGGTGATGGGAATTTGGTGTTTTGTAAGCTATCGATGTTGTTAATAAGCATTCTTAAAGTAGAGCTTTGTCTTTCCATCCATGGCAACATTGGGGTAAATTTGGTTTACAATTCAAGTGCATTTGGCTTGCTTTAGTAAGCCCTATGCGTTAGCATGAATACATGCCCACATATTCACCGCTGGCCCATCAAAACGGGTCTCCTCATAAATAAATATGAGATATTCGGTGGTGACTGATTGATCCTCTTACCACTTCATGCTGCAGCTTGCTTTCATGTGATGTGATTACTTGTATATGTTCAGATCTATTTTTTGTTGCTCTTGAGAGTTTGATTTGTTTATGGCCTTTGAATCATCTGTTGTTTGGGATTTACTGATATGTGCATTTATTTCAAATGTAGATGGTAGTAAGTGATCATGGCATGACGGAAAATGGTAATCATGGGGGTTCTTCATATGAAGAAACCGACTCCTTAGCTCTTTTTATTGGCCTGAGGAATCATGTCTTTGACTATGCATCAGTCATCCAGCAGGTGATTAAACTAATGAAACTTCACAACATCATATTTTTGCTATGAATAGTTTCTGATTGTTCTGTGTGTTTCCTCAAGCTGTATGACAAACTCTTCATCTATTACATAGTGCATATGTGTTACAGCATACCACTTTTATCATTTTCTTCAGTAACTTAATAGGGACTTAAACATCATTTCTTCCACTGAAAGTTTTCAGTGCTAGAATGGGATCCTTTTTAACTTCATTTAGGTTTTTCATTTTTCATATTTTTTTTCATCAACTTTTTCTTTTACCCTTCAGTTGAGGAAATTTGAGCATTTGCAAGTTTCTCCTTATATGTTGATGGAAACCCTCAGTAGGTGAAAGAAACGTTTTTGTGCTTTAGCAGTGATGAGAACTTCCAGATATTGGATCAGGGTTCAAGAGCTTGCTTAACTATGCTATTGTAATTTTTGTAGTTTAATGATTAATAGAGTTATCTAATTTAAAAATTTTTTTGATGCAGGTTGACATTGCACCAACCTTGGCTCTTCTATTTGGTGTGCCAATCCCTAAAAACAATGTTGGTGTTCTTATTACAGAAGCTTTTGATTCTCTAAAAGGTTCATCTCTACTTCTCTCTTGATCAGTCATGAAGTAGTAGCAAAAATGTAAAAGGAAAAGGGGAAAAAGTTGATACTATTTGGCAAAAGAAATATATAATATTTCTGAAGGTTACGTCAACCTTTTTCCTAGATGATATCATAGTGGCATGCTTTACCTCTGTAACCTGGAGTATGGAAATTTTTTACAAATATTTGTTGCTCTATTCATCTTCCATAAGATGCTGTTCTTGATGGACTCATTGAATCACATTTACAGTTATGCACAGGGTGCAACAGAAGAGTCTTAAAGTATACATTATGTGTGTGTTTGAAACTGGTGGAGCTTGGGCCAAATTATTACCTCTAGCCCAAAGTGATAAATAGGGATGGAATTTTAGAGAGAGAATGTTTCGAATTAGAAATTAAATCACTCCCTTTTAGGCCCATATGCTGTCTAAGCTGATGTGATCATCTAATTCCTTTCCTTCTTGATGAATTCAGAGGACCAACGTCTGAGGGCTCTGGAGTTGAATTCTTGGCAGTTACTCAGATTGTTGCAAGCTCAGTTATCAGGTTTGCCATGCAGAAATTTCCCCTGTGATGCATTCAGTAATCATCAGAGTTCTGATCCTAGTGAGTGCAATCATAGTACAGCGAATATGCTTTGTTGCTTGTATATGGAAGCGGAAGCTCTATACAACTCCTTGAAGTCTAAGGGGGGCTCTGAGTGGGTTTTCTACATGTTACACTATTTAGCATCACAATCATTAAATATTATCCAGTTACAAATATTTTTACTACCATTTGTTGTTGTGTAACTTGTAGGTTTGCTAGCAACAAAGGGTACAGCAGGACTGCAGCTGCATATTACAAGTTTCTGAAATCTGCAAGTGAGTGGTTATCACGCAGATCTACTGATGTATGTATATTTATTTTAACAAGTTTCTGAGTTGATCGAAAAATTTTAAGTCTCTTCCATATTAAAATAAAAATTAATTAGTGATATTCCAGGAGTGGTGTAAAAAAAAATTTACTAATTTTATTTATTTTTCTTGAAGATCTTATCTATCCTTTTAATCTTATTTTCATTTTGATCCTGAGCAGTTCTTTTTTTTTTCTTTTTTGGGCAGAAACCTGTTAAGCTACTTGCTGTTGGACTAGCAACAATGTTTATCTCATGTGTAATATTATCAAGCCTGTTGTTTTGTTGGGTCAGAGAAATTTATCTGGGAGGAAAGCAACAGCACTCCAACTTAAATGATAGCATGAATGGCTGGTCTTTAGATGAGACATTCATTCTTGGTGTTATCTTGATCCTTGTTACAAGTATGGGATCAAGTTCTATGGTAGAGGAAGAGCATTACATATGGTATTTTGTGGTATCCACATTCTATCTCTTGCTACTCCGTAAAACAGCACAGTCCCTTGCACCAGTTGGTGTCCAAAGTTCTCTTGGCATGCACAAAGGACAAAATGGAAAAGTTTACTCTAGAATGTGTTTAATCTTTTTGCTGCTTATCTCCGGAAGGATTTTGAGAGGCTGGCATCAAGGTGGTGTAAACTGGACTAGTCTACCTGACATTTCTAAATGGCTTGAACTGGCTGGGAGTCATTATGTGCAATTGCTTCAGCTAATATCTGCATTCCTGGTGATCAGCATAGGTGTATGTGCTCTATTTTCAATAGAATCAAAGGGAAAATTTTTTCAGATGGTCAGACTTAGCTTTCTGATGTCTGCATTGCTGGTTTTGTTGCATATCATAAGATATCAGGATTATACATTTTCGTCAACTAATTATGGAGCTACCTTATTGGCACAAATAATCTATGAAATTCTTGGTGCTGCGACTATTGGGACTGTTTTGGCCTTGCCATGGCTTATTCCTTTTTCAACCTTTAAGATTTGCCCTACTGATAATACCCTCTCACCTACTTCATTTTTTCTTAGCATTCAAGAGAAGTTTCCGTTGGTGGAATTAAGAGATTCTTTATATGTGATTGGGTGGTCATACATATTATGTTGGTGTCTTCTGCAGCTGTTGCTCCAACAGCCAATTAACTCAACACCCATACTATTACTGCTTGTGCAAATATTGGCCAGCTTGCTTTATTTTGCTTCTAATGGAACACATCATAAAGAGTGGATAGAGGTCAGTTGCTACCTTATATTTTCCTGATTAATTATTTTATTTTCTCATTTGTGTTGAAGACAAGTAATTTCGCATGCTACTATCCCAATAAATAGATGGAGTCATGTTGAACTTTTTCAAGTGAATTTTTGGATGAAAGGAGCATGCTAATTGCTAAGGGTTGAGAGCCCCCCTCATAGTTTCATTCTAAAGGATTAGTTTGTGCATTTTATGGTGTTCATAGTTGTGAGAGTTAGATTTCAGTGTTCATTGCCTCATTTTTAAATTCATAAGGACACTCTCCTTGGTGAGCACCAGTACATCTTGACTTGGTTCTCTTCTTTTTCATTCTTCACACCCCCCCCCCCCCCCTGTTGTCTGGAGTTTGTATTGCATTTTTCTCTCTCTGCCAAAGAAACTCTAAATTTGTTTAAAATCAAATGTTAGAAATTAAGCCTGTACATACATGAACAAAAATTAGTTGAAAAGGTGTGAAGTGCTTTTAGGAACTCATGAAATGACCAACAGTTTTCTGGTACTAATGTCAGGGCTTTGTTTTGTTTTCTTAGATTGCAGCATTGTACTACTTGGGAATGGCTGGTCATTTTGCTCTAGGAAATAGCAATACACTAGCTACTATTGATGTTGCTGGAGCTTTCATTGTATGTACTTTCTTTTTCCTTGCTCACTGTTAATATGTGCTTGAATGCTGACCTTTTTTTAATGGAAGCCTTGTATTCAAACTTAATCTTTGCTATACATATGAAATTTAAGATATTGATATTAATTAAATTATCTAACTTTCCCAATATTGTTTTTTGCTCATTGCAAGGGCATATCAAGTCACTCAACATTGCTGTCTGGCGTTCTAATGTTTATTATCACCTATGCGTCACCCATGTTTATTCTTCTTAGCCTGGTAATGTACATCTCTATGAAGAACACGGCCCATCGTGTAATTCCTGAGAAAGCAGATGATGGAGACCTTCTCATGATGATGCTTGGTTTTCCTTGCCTCGTTCCACTGGTCTTAAATTCAATTCTGTTGACTGCATACACAGTTGTATTGCTGTTAATGAGGAATCATTTATTTGTTTGGAGTGTTTTCTCACCCAAGTAAGTTTTAAGTCTCATTGGAAAAGCTTTGCTGCTTTTAGATGATTCAAATGTGTCTGCAAGCATGTTGCAATAATGTCAAAAAATTGCATGGATAGCTGGTGTTCTTGTTCTTAAGTAACATTTAACTGATTTTGTAAAAACCATGGAAGTATTTGATTTACTGTAATCCGTTTTATTTACTTTGCTTGTGGTAAGACTAATAAGACAAATATGTCCAGGTACCTGTATGTCTGTGCAACAACCCTATGCACTTACATAGGGGTCTCCATTGTGGCTGCAACTGGAATTTATACACATTTGGTACTGGGCATCCGGAAAAGAAAGCAAGTACCGATCAGCAACAGCACAAGATAGCACTCAGACCGATTAGCAACCCAATTTTTTGTTCTTCCAATATGGTGGAAGGTTATTTAATACTTATTTCTTTTTTATTTCACCAACTTCCTCCATAGACGCATTTGGTACAGGCCATGCAGAAAAGGAAGCACCTCTCCATTAGCAACAACACAAGATAGAGTAACAGGCGACCCAATCTTGAATTCTTCGAAACCAACTCAGATGGTGTAACTAGTTGTTTCATAAGATTCTCTAGCTTCCTCAACGGATGTGATATTGCATGTAGGAATCAGATGAGGTATAGTAATAGGAATGTTAGAAGATACTCCTGAAGCAATTGGTGGTCTTTATTTACATAAAAACATCATTTTTGGGGTCAAATAAATCTGAATATTTTGTTGGTGATAGAAGGGAAGGACCATATTCTGAAACTGGTGTTTAAATCTTGATTTTTTATTTTTATTTGTTCTGCTTTCAGGTGAGAGTTTGTTATTTTAGCTAATGGAACAATGCGGACCAGCATGGGCATTCACACCGGGTGAATGGTATTGTCTTTATTTTTCTTATCAGAACTTAGTTTTTCAATAATATTTAAATGATGTGGCAAAATAATGGTAGCTGATTAAGGGTTTTAAAGGATGAAATAGGAGTTGGACCTCTATTGTACTTGCGTCAGCACATGAATTATCATGGAAAGAAAACTATAGACGTGCATCGCATTTCTTCTTGGGGTTGAAGTAAAGGTGCTAGATTCGTTTAGTTATTCTTTTAATAAATAACAAAAATATAAATTAAATGAAATCAAAATAAATTTTAAATGTAAAAAAGTTTAATTTACAATTATTATTATTATTATCTAAGGGATAATCGTAAGTTGTTTTGTTTTCCAAATTCGTACGATAAAAGCGTAGGAAAAGAGAAAACAAAACAAAAATTTGCACTGATGATTGATGCAAGATAACCGTAGGGCATTATCCTTGTTGCTCAAGCAGAATATTTTGCGTCACTCAGACACTCACTGTCCCCCTAGATGTGCCGATTGCAGGGCCGAGAAATGATCAAAACACCCTCGTATCCTACTTCACCACTCCATGTCCACATTCGGTATTTCAAAATCTTTGCAGTTTCACCCTCTCCCTACGCTGTCGCTCGCCAATAAGAATGCGACCCGAATCAGTCGGACTTCACCTAATCAGCGGCTCGCCGATCTTTTCACTTCCCCACTGCTGCTTTAATTCCTCCTCCTCCTCTATTATAAGAAAATCCGACTCTTGAAAACCCGACCCGTAATCATAACCCAAACTCTTCATTCTAAGACTTAAACCCTCATGACTGATAGCGTCTTTTTCACTCAACAAGTTGCTAACATTCAACCCACCGCAAAACAATGACCCATACCTCCAAAACAAAGATTTCATACGAGCAAAAGCAGGAAAGCCATTTTTTTAACATGGGTTGCAATGGCAATGAGTTCAAAAGGAATGATTTAAAGCAAGAAAGAAGTGGAAAAAATGAGCCAAACAAAGGGCCTTTAGAGAGTGAAAATGAGAAGGGCAGGTTTTGGACTGTTTGTCCATACTGTTATTACATGTATGAGTATGAAAAGAAGTATGAAGAGTGTTGCTTGCTTTGTCAGAATTGTAGAAAAGGGTTTCATGGAGTGGCGGTGGCTGCGCCTACGGAAAGTTTGTTGGTGAAAGGGAAAGATGGTGGGTATTATTCTGGATATGGGTTTTTTCCATTAGGTTGTTTTGGGGATAGTTTCTTGGGTGGCAAGAAAGAGGTTGGTGGGGGAGATACCGGGAAAAAGCATGAGGTTGTGGAGATATCTGATGATAGTGATGATGAGAAGAAAAATGTGGATGTGAAAAATGAGGGTAGTAAAGTGAAAGTAGAAGTTTTGAACTCTGGTGAAGGAAGACGTGTAATGACGAGAGTAAAATCTGTGCCGAGGAATACAAAGAAAATAATGGGAAAAGGGGTAAAGGGGAAGAAAGTTGAGAAGATGAGTGTTCTAGAAATGAATGTGGAGTCTGGGAATGGAGTTGGAGATGGTGATTGTGGAAGTGGTGGAGGAGTAAGTGTTGGAAGTGGATGTCAGGATGGATGTACTGAGAATGAGTTGGAGTTCTTTGAGGGAGATGATGATATATTTGTTGGGTTGAAGGGTATTTATTGATCCAAGTCTATGGAGAGCGTATGGTTATTTGAGGGTTGTAAAGGGAGTCCTCTCTGTGCTTATATGGTTCTAACAGTAGACAGTTTAACAGGAAAGCAAAATTGTGTAGGGCACTGACAATGTGTTTTTGCTAATCCCATAGTTGAAAACGAAATGCAGTGGTTGTAATGTTCTTGAATCTGGATAATTCTTGTTATTTCATGGTTATTGGTAATGCAAATCGTGTTATGGATCTTAATTATGTGCTTTGATCTCTTGTTTAACTATTTGTCCTTGAAGGGAGAGTTTTTCTCTGTTTAGATGACATGTTAGAAGGGACTTGATAGCCATGGCGATTATAGTGTCAAACATCTGTTTCTCGAACAAATTTTGTTATAACCAGTTGTGTAGGATTTACTTGACATTTGTCTTTACGCATCAAGTAGTTTAGCTTGATTGAGAACTAAGCTGAATTTCCTGATAATATTTCTCAAGTTTTGCATGCTCAGTGTTTAAATAATTTTAGCTTTTGATGAAGATACTGGGATAAATATTTTAGATCTATGAAAATGCCTTTCTAGATAAGCTGGTTCCATCTGATTAAAATGCCTATCTAAGAAGTAAGAATAAATTTGTGGATACTTAAGGGTTTGTGAGATATGAATGAATTTGTGGACACTTAAGGTTGGTTCCCTTGTTGTCTCTCAAACAGTTTCATTCCAGCTTTGCCAATTGACTATGGGTCCACTTTCTTAGAAAGTAAAGAAAAAATGGATAGAAGGAAGCTGATGGAAACTCACCATGAATCTCTATATCTATCAGAAGATTGATGAAACAGGAGGGTTCCAAGAGAATGGAAATGAAGTGTTCTAATATATTTCATACTTCTCTGATTTCGGGTTTCTCATGAGATGTTCTAATGTTCTTTTGGTATGAATTTTCAGAAGGTCCACTTTAGATTTTCCAGTAATCCCTGCTGTTGGTGATATTGCACAGACACAGTTTGATATTCCTAGATGGCATTAGCAATTTCTTATGTTAAGCTGGTCTTGCTATGCATTTATCTTATGGTCTTTGTATCTATTCACAAATCACAAATTATTTTTCTAAAGCTTTCTTTGATTTTAGTTGTACTAGCTAATTCTGTCATGGTTGTGAGAGAGCTGAATAGCTGATGGGCAATTTTTTTTAATTTTTTGGCTGTTTTGTGCTAGTTATGATTGGTCCCAATGGAACTTAACAAAGAGGGGACAATGATGGTTAGAGGTGAATTAGTAGTTGATAGAATGGCAAATAATGAGCAAGAGTTCCATGTGGGAAACAGATCAATGGAAAAGGAAAAAAAATGATGGTTTATTCAGATAATGCCAATGAAGATGATTGCGGTGATTACCACTAGAAGAACTATCAATCTCAGCAAATTATTTCCCTGCAGACAATGAATTCCACCAGATCATGTTCTCCAGGTAAAGTCAGAATAGTGCTTGCATGTGGAATTCCTACCATTTCATTTGTCAAAAGTAAACCTTCAAGGAAGGGGAAGAGGTAAAACTATATGATCCTTCCTAGTAACCTAACAAAATCCCCCCTTCTTCTTTTCCAAGTCCCCGTTTTAACAGATTGGTTGTCATGGTCTAGTGCCTTTAATCAGTGCAAAATATTCCTGTCATGAGCAGTTACAAAGCCATGGACTTCCTTTTTTTTTTTCTTCATTTATTGTCTGGTAAATCATGCAAAAATTTCATGGTATGTAGGCAGCAGAAATGGTGTTCGACTGTCTTGTGCATTGTGCAATATTGTGGCAACTCTCACATTCGCTTCTTTGATTTGCGTCTGTGAGGAATGATATGATAAACTTGTATTCATAGACGATATAGTTTTTCTTTTTTTTTAACAAAATAAGAGTTAATTACATATTATTCATAAAAGTTTTAAGTACAAGTAAAGGTGAATTTAATCCAAACCAAAGAACAAAGAATGAAGAAGATTTGACTTCATTTTCGTCAATTTTTTCCTTTTTTTGTTGTGATAAAATAAAGAGTTTCTTAAAAACACAATCTAGATTTTAATAATATCTATTTTTTTTTTAGAAAGGTTTTGCATAAAAGTAAATTTGTAAATTAAATAGATACCAATATACTTTTAAACTATCATAATTTGAATTCAAATCAAATAATAAATTCTTATTAGTCTTTGTCAATGTTTATACTTTTTAATTTTAAAAAAAAAATCAGTCATGATAATATAATTTTTAAAAAAAAAGTAAAAAATTGAATCTTGAAAAAGTGTTATGCTTGAGAGTGATTTGAGTTTAAGGCTTAAAATTTAAAGATTTAAAATTCAAATAAAGATTTAAAGATTTAGAGTTTAGAATTTGGGCAAAGAATTGTATGGTTGCTATAGCGTCCAAATCAAGCTAGTCTGGCGTCTCAATCAAGTTAACGAGCTAAGAAGGGATGGTACTCGGGAGTAGCGGCTCGGGTTTGAGGTTGGGAGATTTGAGTGCAATTGATCGGGAAAAAGGAGTAAGAAGAGGGAAAGGAAGGCCGGGGAGCCACCGGCTGTACAGAGGTGGTGCGGCTGCATAATCTATAGAGTTAATATCAGATCACGCCAACAAATTCACATTCCAATATCCTAGAATTAAATGTCAGGATTATACCAAATACTTAAGATTACAGCATCTTATAAATAAGATAAAATCAGCCCATGTTCGATACATCGATTCTCATTTATGAGGTTTGATATCTCTGCTTCTCACTGTCTTTAATACATGCATATGCCCGTCTTATTAGTTACCTGTAAAAGGCAACAACCTTGTACAATACTCTTTGGATCAAAATCTCTCTCCCAATCTCTCCATAGAGAGTAAACATTTGTTCTTCCGCTTTCTTTCGAAGGAACAATTTTTACTGGAGGCAAACCTGAGGTCATCCATGGTCCGTCTGAAACAGGTAATGATTTACTGTTTTTACCCCTTTTCTGATTGCTTTATCAAGCTATCTTCTTAAAACCATGCGTTTTTGTCTTCTGGTTTTATACTTGTAGTTAGAACAAGATATACAACAACCTGTTGGGGGTTACTATAGTTCAGCGTTGTGCTCAAGGCCAAACAGCCTTTCGCAACAAGTGATTCCCACCATTGACATCCTCTTGAAATGTTTGCCAAGGAAGACAAAATCAAAGGCTGAGACCAACATAGCCAATGCTGTGAGACATAGAATTGCGGAGAGGCATCGTAGAAAGCGTATTTGCCAACAGTATGACATACTCCGTTCCATCCTACCAAACTTGATCAAAGTAAGTGATGAATAGAATAAAATTAGCATTAAATCAAAGGTTAGATTAAGTTCTATATTTTGTTTGCAGAAATTTCTCGAATTCTACTAATGAACTAATGAAAAAAAAAAAAACAGCTTATTAATAATGAAAGGGTACTCAGCAATCGTTTCAGTTCATGCAACAGATGGACAAGGCATCCGTGCTGGGCGAGACAATCAGGCAGGTAAGGGAGCTGAAAAAGAGAGTAAAAGAAACGAAAGCAGTTTGTCGTGGAAGCTTAGAGGGTGTGCTCCCTGGTGAGTCAGACAACTTGAGTTTGGGTTATTGTGAAAACGATGGGAGTTTGTTGAAGGCAACATTCAGCTGTGACGACAGGGCAGAGCTGATATCTGACCTGACACGGGCAGTGAGGACAGTGAATGGGAGGGTTGTAAGAGCAGAGATGGTATTTCTAGGAGGAAGGAATAAAAGTGTGTTGTGGGTAAAAGGGCTTAGCGGAAATGAAGGGATAGGGATGCTTAAGAGAGCTTTGAAGATGGCTGTAGATAGACCTAAGATTAAAAATGGGAAGCCTCGTTTCGCTCACTGATTATTCTGTTGTAATTTCTAGCAGTTGCAGAGCAATGGAAAAGGGTAGTTTTAAGAGTATATTTAAAGAATAATGGTAAATAGTGCTTCGTGTAATCATTTTCGTAGTTGCAGTTCTACGACAACGAACAGGACTTTGGAACATGATTGCCCCAATTCTACTAAGATTTTGTACAAAATTACAACCTACTTAATTTTCTTTGGGTAGATTTGTGCTTCAAAATTCAAGCACTTTTGCCACGACCCTTGATGGATGGTGAATATGTTGCATTAGCATACCATCAACATGTGAGTTCAACCTGTCGCTTAAATTTGATTCTTGAATTAGCAAGAACATCAACAAAAGTTTTTTATTTTATTTTTCTGTTCCACTATATTCAATTGAGCCAGCTCATGGCAGGCAATAGGCATCAATACATTGCGTTGTAGCTCCGCACTTATAAACTAAAAACCTTATGATGAAGTCTGTAAAACATTCCCATGATACTATTATTACTGTCAAACTGAATACTATGCACAATAAATTAATCAAGGCATAGCCCAAAAACAAACTTTTACTTCTAGGCAGGAAAGAATTTAGTAGTTTCTTGTACTAGCTTTTGACTAATTTCACAAGGTATTTCCCCAAACAAGATTTTAAGAATATGTAGTTAGGATCGGCTCCTAAACAGGAAAAAGAGATATACAGCACATACCAATCCTACATCTGTTGGTCCAAAGCTTGAATAATTGTAGACAACCTCTGTGTGTACGGTAAATAGCAAAGTCAGTGTCAGTGCTTATAAAACACAAGTTCTCTGCTACAATTGGCTTTAATAGCCTCTTCTAATTTCTCAACCTGATCAAAATCAACTTTGAAGGAAACCATGGTGATCCCATCTTTGCCAGTATCATAATCCTGTTCGATGTCCTCAGCTTGAAAAGATTGTACCTGCAACAAAGAAGAACAAAATGACCATACAGTCAAACATTCAGCTCAGCATGTGATGCATCGAAGGTTCCATTTTAAGACCAAGAAAATTAATAAGCAAATGGGAGCAGCAGGATGGATTCAGAAAATTTCAATAGTGCAACTTACACACGCCAATTGTAATTAGTTATTTCATCAATGTACCTATATCACACATAAATGAAAAATCCAGAGCAAAAGTATAGGAAGCAGAACACGTCAGCCTCAAAATATCAATAGTTTAACATCATCCTATCCCTTGGTAAAAGAAAGGTTATTTCCTTTAATATTAACACACTGATCCCAGATAATGATTAATTTGAGAAAGTCACAAAATTACTCACATAATTTCAGATAAAGCAAAACTACCACTAAACATGAAAGAATTGGTTTACTACAAAAGTGAGCCATTGTTAGAGGAAACAACCAAGTGACATCTCAAGGATGTTATACGAATCATACACATTCCAATGGTGATACGTGAATGATAAACTAAAGTAAGCAAAACTCTATAGCATACTAATGGAAGGAAAAAAAAAATGGTAAGTTGCTACTCTCTATTTGTAAACATTGTATGCCTATGAGTAACAGAGACGGCAAAACCAACCATAAGACACCAAGTTACTTAGAAAAGAGACATATTGTTAATCAAAAACAATGCTCACTTGATGGTATAGAACTCCCAAAAGATCGAAAGGAATCTCCACACCCATCGGAACCTACAAAAATTCCAATCAAATATTAGACTTTCAAAATATTGAAATCATAAAAATCAACTTTTCAAATGTAAAAACAACAAAGTCTTTTCCTTTCTTACTTTAGATTTTACAAGACAAGTCGGAGCATTTCTCAAGCATTCCGAAGCCACTCCACCATAAGCCCTAACAAGTCCTCCCGTTCCCAATTTAATTCCTCCAAAATACCTGAATTCATAAAAAAAAAAAAATCCCTTTTTGTCCTTTTAATTTTAATTATGGCGAGCAATCAATTGTCAAAGTAATTAAATTTACCTAACAACGACCACCATTACTCTGTCTAAACCTGAAGAAACAATGGCAGAATGAATCGGCTTCCCCGCTGTTCCTGAAGGTTCACCGTCATCATTCGACCGGTACTGATCCCCAACCTATAATCCTTTGACCCGTCAATTTATGAGCCGAATTGAATTGAATCGGATAACTATTACCAACACGGCATCGTATTAGATACCTTGTAAGCCCAACAATTGTGAGTGGCGCGCGGATCCTTAACCTGATTGAGGAAAGAGTGAGCGGATTGTTCGTTGGAGATAGGGCCGGCGATGGCGATGAATTTGCTCTTTTTTATTTCTTTCTCGAATGTTACTGTTTCTTTGATTGTGGTGTACGCGCCTGCGTTGGAGGCGGTGCTGGAGCTACTGGCGGTGGTGACCATTGGGTTTTTGGCAGTGCAGAGGGAGGAAAGTGAGGCGGATAGACGGTGGTTGAGCTTGTGGCAGTAGCGGTAGCCAGGTGTTGTTATTGCCACTGGCATTTGCTTGTTTTGGTGGCTTTAGTTACTCTCCTGTTTGTCGTTTCAAAAAATTCATAGGCTCCTTTTTCTTTTCCGGCCGCCGTTTCAAATGGAAAGCCCATTTCCATTTGGACAAAGTTACGACGACGTTTGCACCCATTTTAATATTATTCCTTTTCTTTTTTATTTATTTTTTCTGGTTGGAGCTTTTTTTCATCTTCTTTCCCAACAAAATGGATTGAGCAATGAATAGGCTTCTTGCCTTCTCCAATTATTAGAAAAATCATTAAATTGAATAAATAAATAAATAAAAGGGTATAAATGTTTACTTGTAATGTTTTTATAAAGTAAATAAAACTAGTTGATTTTGATATTTATAAAGCTTCTAAAAACTCATTATCGGAATCAAAACTCAGTAGACGAGACTACGAAGATAACTTTTATACATTTTAAAAGTATTATTGATCAAATAAGTATGGATACTTCACAAATGACAAATGTTCATGAGATAATAAAAAATAATATCAAATGAGTTAGATGATTTTTCTGTTTGTTTCGCAAGATTCCAATTGAATTGAAATAGTATAAAGAGATTGTCAGACAAAATGAAAAAAAAAGAATCTTCATATTATTATCATAATAATTTTCTTTTTTTCTTCTATTTTATAAAATTACTATTATGAAAGTACGGTGATAAAATTCAAGGTAATCAAAATACAATGATAAAATTTAATATTGAATCATACTTTAACAATAAATTAGGTCCAATCCTAACCTTTTATGATTTTTCTATTTAATTTGATTAGTTTATGGGAATTTCCACGTGTCTCTACGATGGTCTAACTTTCCTCCCAATAGTTGGGTCCTCCACGTGGCAAACATTTTTGCATATAAGACATGCCACTAGTTTAAATTATCCACGTTGACAGACAGTTGTTGGACTTTTAAGTCACATAGCTCACATGACAAGTTTTTGGCTAAATAAGGATTTTAATAAATACAAATATATGTTAAATGATTCAATTGGATGCAATAAAAAAATATAAATTTAGTTGAAAATTTAAATCAAGTAGAAAAACTTATTTTGTGTTTCATGATCTTCTATCATCATAAGATAACAAAAAATACATATAGCTTATAATAATATTCTTATTACCATTAACTAAGTTTTAGAATTAAATTGAACTAGATTTTTCATTTAATGCAAGAGTAATAGCTTGGGCCTGACGAGGCTTGAGCTTCAAATTCTTATCCCTAAAGTCAGTCAAAAGGTGCAGCTGGCCTGATCTGCGGACCTGGGCAGGCCAACGGCCCACTGATAGCAAACTTGAGAGTTTAAAGTAGAAGATTATAAGGTAATTTTATGGAGAAAAAAATGATGATTACTGCTTTTTGAATTATAACAATAAGTAAATAACTGAAAGCTCGATTTTATGTCAACTCAAACCTCAATAAAACGTTTGAGATGATCCATCGACGCTTGCTCTCCTCAACGAAATACCGGATGATCTTACATCAAAAGGATTAGACCAGCCGACTTGCTCAAAATCAGATGCTCTACTGTTACTATTCCTACGATGTCTACTTGAGTCAGCGTACAAAAATGTGGAGTTCCCATCCCTCTCCAGCCACCGATCACGGCAATCTATCTCCGCCCCTGAATCTGATGAAATCCCATATTGGCTGTACCATTCGGGTCCCATGTCACCAAATAAATAATCAGAGAAGTCTTCACTCCTTGAAGAGTCCTTGGTGCTTGCTGTGCTGCAAGAGCTTGCATCTGAGCCGCTGAAGATGGAAGAACTCTCACTCGATGAATCAGCTGGAGGAGTTCTTTGCGTTGAATGAAACCTCCAATCTTCTTGATCAGACAAGTGCTTTCGGGTTGAAGCATCAGAAGGATACTTATGCTTCCGCTGTGCTATAGAGGGATCCAACCTTGTAAAATTAGAGTCAGATCTCGTCTTGGATGTATTATGGGTACAAGGAACAGCTTCCAAATTCCTTTTCTTGAACCTCACACCATGACACTCAAGATTGTTTCTTACCAAAGCAGGGGCCCTTGGAGAGCGCCTAAAATTTTGAAAAACTAAAGTTATTTGTGCTGAAAAAAAAATTATTTTAGAAAAGCCCACCATTTCTTTACACATTACCTCGCATAGAGGAGCATGTACGCCCCTTCAAGTAAGACCCTCTCCAGCTCCACTGGTATTACCTACAAATTAGGCTGCACAAGTCAAATTTATGTACAGTGATACATCTCATGATGATTTCAGATAGGTATATGTCCATATACATTAGTAAGTAGAAGGTACATACTGTGCTGTCATCAATCCTGAACCACTCCCCATGGAAACTCTTCACATAACACACATAATGTCCCGAAAAGGCAGCATTCATAACATCCAAGTGAACAACCACAGCATAGAGATTGTACACTGCAGCCTTATCGCTTGTTCCACTCATATATGGGGCTAAATCAAGGACCTCAGGAATTTGAACTGACTTATTTAACTTCCCAAAGTTACCAGACTGCAAAAGCACGGATGGTAGAGCAAGAGTTTCACATTTAAATAAAGTACATGGAAGCGCAAAAATAGAAACTTGCCATCATAAAATTACCTGGAACCGCTTTAAAACAATGGTGAGAATATTAGGCGCATCTAATACTGTCAACTTCTTTCTTGCTTTGACATAAGATTTACACCTGATCACAAGAGGATGGAGAATTTATCACTAGAAGCTCAACCAGTTACAGTAGCCCCTAGAAATTTTAATATTAGCTGTGAACATCGAGCAGCAATTGTGTGCTAATCCTAATAAAAATCCTACAGTAGGACCAAATATGCCACAGAAGTGGAGATTCCAACAATCACCGTAATGATAGGACAGAAAAATAGTCAGAGTTCATTTATGCCAAAACGGGGATGGAAAAGCCATAACACAACATTAGATCAGTTGGGATTTTAAAATTACAGGCTAAAATCGAGGATATCTAACAATAAGCCACAATGGCCAACAAGCATGGTAACATGCAAAATATTAACATAATGACATGGCACATTAAAAAGCAACGAACCTACTGCAATGATATTTGTTCTCTCCATCCAAGATTTCTGTAGCTGTAAACTGTGCAAGTGCCTCCTCAAGACTTCCAATGTCCCCATCAATCTCAACAGTTAGATCCATCATCCTCTCATACCGCTCAGATTTACCAAGGCACTTCATGCACTTTATCTGATAACCCAATCAACATAATTTAAGAACAAGGTAGCAAAAATCACAATTGCTTCATGTCCATCAAATAACAATAAGTTATAAGAATAAATGGACATTAATGTAGCATCGGAATTTTGAACAACCTTAGAATGAAGGTAACCTCCAAAAGTTAGGCCAACTAGAGTCGTCTCTTCTGCCAGAGGACCTGCAGCCCTTGCTTCCTTGAGGCAAACAGATTGCATGGCATCAACAGCATACCTGCCATCTCACTAATGTGAAGTCTAATTCACATTTGAGAAGGTTATACCAAAATAGTATACAAAAAGAAAGTACTTTTAACAGTTGGTTCACCTCAAAAATTCATGGGCATCCTCTTCCTTCCCAGGACCAAGATGACTTCCAATTTTTTGTATTTTGGATAATATCCTGATTGGTGACAAAGCGGACTCCCCTTCCTTTGCCTTCAAAATCAAACACTCAAACTCACAAATAAAGCACCACTCTTTTTTTCGACCTGCTCAGCAACAATGAACATCATATTAAAGAAGAGGTATGAATGAGGAATGAAATCATGAAAAAGTCATGACCAGAAACTTGCATGCTCTAGAGTGTAGCCCTCTGACAAGGTATGAGGTAAGTGGCCGAGTAAAAGCCAAACACTGAAGCACAGCATTAGCATAACAACTGCAGTAATTTTCAAAGGAAAAGTATAAAATTAGCAACTCAAAAACCAACTATTGAACAGAAAACATGCCTCACCAAATCATAGTAGAGGAAAAAACAACAATTCGAAAGATAAGAGGTTAATATCTTTGCAGGGGGGGGGGGGGGGTGTGAAGAACTCCATCGACATATATAATCTAAGCATCAAGTGTATCATTTTACCTGTCTTGCACTTTAAAGGTGAAGAACTATACATACATAAGTTCCAGCATACTAAATTAGCACCAAAATAAATTTCACAAAATGCACACACTTGAAACCATTCTCTGGACAAAACATACGTTTTATGAGCTGAAATTAAAACCTATATAAATATCAAGATTACCTGTTCCCACAATTATTAAGGCCAAATGGGCATAGTTCCACCGCATCATAAGAGTAAAGTTCCATGAATAGTTCATATGGAAAGATTATCTGTCAAACCACAACAAAAAGTGCTCAAGTCACAATACAACATAGCAAACTATGAGACTCTCGACAAAAACACATAACAATAAGGAAACTACCTTGTAATTGTGTTTTACATTAAACTCATTACCAAAACCAAAAAGATAGGACTTCGACTGTTTGGAGGCTTTAAACTGCTGTACAACCTTCCGCATTGATGTTTTTAAGCCATTACTACCAGTCTGTGGCAAAGTAGGGGTAGCACTACTTTTTGCCGGCAAGCCCAACTTAGAACTGGGAACAGAATGCCCTCCAGCAGCTGAAGATGAATGATCATCAGAAGCACTACATGAGGAAGTTTTGACAGGTTTGGTTTCATAAGGTTGCAAATCATCTTCCCTATCATTAGGTACAGTTTTAGGCCATGAGGGGCTCAGGGATGTTAAGTTACTTTTCTTGGATACATCAGTAACTAACATTTCAGATGAAACTGCTACTGTTGACTTCTTATAGACAGATTTTGCAGGATGGACATCATCAGACATGAGATTATTGCCCTTAGCAAATGGCATTTGAAATTCAACCTCTTCAGTGTTATGAGTGGATTTCTTCTTATTTAATTTACTCAGATTATTTACAGAATAGGTCAAATTAGACTCTGAAGAAGGTGAGATAGCTTCTTCCATCTTCTTAGCAGCAGCCTTACTTCTAGATATAGCAGTGGCAATATCATCAGAAAGTTGCCTCCCGAGCTTGTCATTAGGGCCAGACAGAAGTGTCCTGCTGGGAGAAACATCAACCAAGGATTCACTACTGGCACCAGATGGACTGACACCAGCTAACAATGAGGAACTGGGTGGAGCAAAACCATTATGTGTTGCTTTGGCATCTGCATTAGGCTTTAGATTACCATCAATGTCATCATCTTCTACCAGTGATGAAGTGTCAGATGCTGTCTTAAATATACTTTCCACCTCAGAATCATTACAGTGAATTGCACACTGTTTTGTTACTGCAAAATCAGTTGGGGGGCGACATTCATCCTTGTGGCCTTGTCTCCAGTGAATTATTTGACACTTACCAGAACTACACGTGAACAAGCGAAGAAGTCAATACCAAAAAAGGGTGAAAATGGCACAATAACATATCTGAATATCCAGTACAATAACTAAAGACATTTACAAGAAAATGCATGCATCTTGCATTTCATTTTGCAGTGCAAACTAAGAAAGGAAAAAACTGACATAACAACATGATAAAGCACAGCCAAAACTTTTAAAAAGAATGGCAGCATAAAATTTGTTTAAAGACAAAGCAAAGGGATTCATATAGCCAATCCACTAGTTGAATGAAAATTTAATTAAGCTAAACGGAAGATGAACACCAGGCTTTCTCTTCTACATCTTTAAATTTTAAAGCACTCTTTCTATCATGGAGCCATGTGCTCTATAATATAAGGGCATGAAGACTACCATTTATGAGCAAGAATGATGCTGAACAACAGAACCCAAGCGGTAAGCATGCATATCTAGCAATACGGTATTGACAAGCAGCATTCCAATAAATGGTCCAGAAGTGGCTACTGATAAGCACATAATATGACCTGCATTCCTGAGATGAATCTACACAATGTACATCCTCAGAAAGGTAGATTTTTATTTCTCACCCACTCATCTAAACACCAGAAAAAAGAGGCCTTCCAACTTCCTTCTCAAAACAATCCCAATAAACACTAATATCATGAACATAGAATACCACCACCATACTAACCATATAATAAATCTGATAACCATATAGACCATTCCTCGGAAAATGAAGTAATTCAGCTCAATCTATTCTCTAATCTTTGATTAAAAGAACAATCAATTTAACAAGCGTTTACACAACCTAAGATCAAAACTTCACTAAAATCAACTACCATGCCCAATTATAATGTTTATTAAAACACAACTAAAATGGGAAATCCCAACCATTTCCATCAAAATTAAAGGCTTTAACTTCTTCCCCTCAAACATATATCCGATCATTCCACTTCTAAAGCCGCTATAAATTTTTCATCTTTCTAATTATTCAACTCACCCTCAACAGCTGCAATTACTCCTAACTGTAAATTCTAAAAACTAAGTAGCTCCTACTCTCTACCAACCACAAACAAAATGCCCAAAATGACAATCCTATTCGGAAAAATTAGGTCAAAATTAAATAGAATAAGAAAAGGGCAAATAAAAACGAACCAGTAACGAACAGATTTGCACTGAGAACAGCGCGTGGTAGTAGGGGCAAAGCAAACAGTACACTGGTACTTGGGATAGTAACCGTACTCGCCGGTGGCTTGAACCTCCACCATGGCGGCTTCATGCGAGACCATTTCGAGCAACCTCGTAACCTCCTCTTTCCTTGCTGCCGCATTCCTCAACTTATGCCGGATTACCAGAAAAACAACTAGCAACGACAACAAAAAGACGCCGTTGAAACCCAGAAATCCAGGAACCAGCATTTTTTATTTAAGATTTTATTCTATTCCACTTTATTTAGCCGGCGCCGAGGACCAGTCCTGAACAGAGAAAACCTAGGATGATGGTGGCTTTGTTACACATAGATTTCTGCGACGACGACGCTGGCGGTGACAGTGCTGGTGGTTGGAGGGGCAAAATGGGAAATTTAGGCGGTGGTTAGGGTGAGGAGAGGATTTGAGCATCTGGTCGGATCTGAAAGAGAGAAAGCAAATTTGACCGTTTGCTATTATTAATTTTTACGGGGGTTTCTTATTTTGTCTTGTCGTGTTAAAGACAAAAACTTCTATTTTTTATATCGTATGACAACGGATTTCGCTGTCTATAGTTTTTAGCCTCTCTCAGCAAAAACCAGTAAATTACAAACTTGTTTCGCAATTGTGTCAAGTCAAGATTATATCAATAATATCACTTGAATATAGAATAATAAATTATATTTTAATAAATAAAAAATTAATTTAAAATAAAATATAAAAATTAATTAAATAAATAAAATATATTTTTCAATTTTTAAAAATTTAACAATTTTTAAAAAAATATCATGTTCGAAATATTTCATTTTTACAAAATTAATTTTGATTTTTTTCTTCTTTGAATAATATGGGAAAGGCAAAATAGTAACCCAAAAACTAAAGAATAATTGGTTAGATTATTTTTAAATCAAGTCATAAATTTAATTTGCTAATACACTTTATTATTTCTTGCTTAATTTTAATTAAATTTAATTTTTTTTTGTTCTAGTGATGAGTTTAAACAAGTGAAATTTAAATAGAAGTAGACAGAAGAACAATATAATGTCTTAATTTTTAAAAATATAAGAGTGGATACTACTAAATTTTATAGGCAAGCTAGATAATTGTCCGTCTCAAACCCAACCCATCCACTAACAAAGAGTATGCGCAAATAAATAAAGAATGCTTTAGGTGGCAAAGGAACAAATAACACCACAACAAATATTATTACAAGCATTTGAACTGAACAACAGGTTTGGGCGGCCCAAATAACATATTAACTAAAAACAAATATATAAGCTTGAGAAGATAAGCTAAAGCCTAGTGTTTATAATTATAGGTATACCATTGTGTAAGTCAATGCCCTTAGAATTTGAAAGAGCTTCGTGAAGTACAGTCTACAGTGTTGCATTTAAAAGCAACCAAACTAGAAAAGCAATCAAGATCTATTCACGTCCATTCTGACAATGAACTTCATCGGAGTCCGCATTGTTCCTCTGGCGAAAAGGAAAGGTTTTGAGTGGGTAGGGCCAACGCCAGTTCCAGACTGTATATATTTTATTTGATTTGAAGTACACTCTATATATTAAATTTTTTACCTTTTAGCATTGCCAACTGAACATTATATGTGAATTTTCTTCCCCGACGTTATTTAAAACTTTGTCTTTTCAAATCACGTGTAGAACTTTAATTAAGAGGACTTTTGCTCTTGCAGTTTATGAGCGAAAGGTTGACGCATTTGGCAATTGGAATTATAGTGGGCTGCAGACAGATACCTTTACCTCGTGCGCACTTTCCACAGGATGGTACAATGGGTCACAGAAATTAGAAAGAATAATTAAAACAATAATAATAATAATAATAATTGACAATGATATTTGAGTATTTAATTTATTTATTGGTTCATGATTTATTTGTTTAAAAAGTAGATTTTAAATCTTTTTTTATTATTTTTTTAAAAACAATAATTAGTAGTAATTTAAACAGAAAAAAGAAAATGATAATTGCGCAGGTTAAGTAGTGCTGATCATGGGCCGCTCGGCCTGTCTAGAAGCGAAACTTTAGCCCGATTCCGGTCAACCCGGACAATGTTTTGCCTTTTCCAAGTCTAAGGCCGCCTCTGTGCAGTTTAATTGTATTCTATTTTGTTAGAGTACGATTCTTTTAGGATTATTCTAATATATTTAGCAAACTCAAGCATTTGGACGGACATGAACAACTCTTCATCACTATCGTTTGCCTGTTTCTGTTTCTGCTTTGGCCAATTTCCACACTGCCGTTGTTCATGCACCCGTGTCCCTTTTTGTTTCATATAGTGCAACGTTTTCCCTAAAAAAGTGATGATACTGGATTTTCAATAACAAGATTATGGGATTATACACCTGAGGTAATGAAACATTTTATGGCTGATGACCTTCCGAATATCATTAGGCTCAGGCCTGTCTTTGTTTATGTTTAAATCTTGTCCTTGTGATCAATATATGCTGGTGTTCAGCCCGATTCTTACGACAACAGAGCCTGTGTTTGGTTTCGATTTGACTTTCAATTATCTAGTTGTAAAGGATAAGAGTGGGGAGAGCTAAACTCAAAAAAAGAGTGAAAATGGAGTTCTTGGTTTACGTTAATTTAGATTTTTAGCCAAACCCAAGTCCGGCAAATGGTATCAAGCCATGAGCCAATCCAAAAGCAATAACTACCACAACCTCCAAGCATCCTGGCTAATGTTCCTTAGCCAGGATTGTTGCAGAAGCGCACCGCTACCTTTTAAAGGGAAGAATTTCTTGAGCCTTTGCACTCCACCCATAAAAAGAATGTTCGACTTTCCTTTGACGGCGCAAGGCAGCGGATTTATGATCAGGATGAAATGCACTGGCAAAACATGTCTCGTCAGTCATATATAAAAACATAATGTTAAACAATCAAAATGTCTGGTTTTGGGATATGCTGGCAGAAAAACGACTGTCCTTTTTTATTATTTTTCTAATTTCTTTTATTGAAATTTACAGGTCACAGGGTGTCTCAAACAGGAGACGAGTGAAAAAGGAATTGATATTTTATATGGTCTTCTCTTCCCTCCTACTTTGAATATTCTTGCTTTTGTAATTATAGATCTATAGTATTATGTTGAAATAAGCAAGTTGTCTAGCCAAAATCAAGAAGAGCACAACTTTGTAAGATTTGCAGATGGAAAAAATTTGCAATCATGCAAATAGACTAATAAAAAGAAATTCCGTATGTAGAGAATAGAATAAAACTTATATTCAAATTCCTCCATGCATTACAAAATAAAAAAGAATATATCCTTTTTCCTTATTTGACCATATACCACTTTCTGCCTTTAATTTTCTCCAATTCTCCTTTATTTCTAAATGTTGCTAATGGTATAACTTTAAATTTAATTCGGCCCCTTTTTTCATCTTCCCAATTGTATCCACCACCAATTACCCATCTCAACTATCATCAAAAATGTTAGTATTATAGTGTATCGTTAAAACCAGATACTTACAGCATTTCCCTCAACCGTCGCTTTGGCCGAGTGGTTAAGGCGTGTGCCTGCTAAGTACATGGGATTTTCCCGCGAGAGTTCGAATCTCTCAGGCGACGCCAAATTTTTCAACTCATAACGTTTCTTTTAAAAATTTGGGCCCCAACGGCTACAAGTCAAGCGGCTCAAAAACCTGCCCCAAATCCCACCTAGACTGACCAAAAGCGGGTCATGCCTGACCCGGTCAGTCAAGTCCACCCTTGACAAGATTGGTTTTTTAAACACTTAATTAACTGCGTACACGTGGATGGCGTTTAGAGGACCGCGGAAGCCCCAAAATGATCTTTCCAAGTTTCAAGTGGGAAATCGGAATCCCAGTCAGTCAATAATAGCATTTGGCCCCTCGCACTGGACACTTCTCCCTTCAATATATATTTTTTTATTGATTTATAAATTAATGGCAATAAATTGTCACTTTTAACCCCCAAACTCTTTCAACACTTTATTGAAAAAATTATGATGATTTTAATTGACTAATTCGCTGGGATCTGTTCAAGCTTTTAAAAATGTTTCGAGAAGTATATGATTTCCCTGCATTTTCTATCTATCATTGTCTCTGTGACAAATGGTCATAGAAAATGGGCTGTTTTCTCTTTGGTGAGATAAAAATATGATTCTGACTTATTAATTTCTTTGCGTCCTTTCTCTAGTAGAAGTTGATAATTAAGCTTAAGTATCTATTTGGTTTGATTTTTTTTAGTTTAAAAATTATTATAAAGTTTTTATAAAAAATAATAATTTTTAAAATTAAATTAAATATGTTTGATAAATTTATTTTTATAAGTTTTTTTTATAAATAAGTTGTTTGATAAAATAATTTACATAAATTTTAATTTTGATTAAAATTATCATAAAAAGTATTTAATAAATAATTTTTTATTAATCATAAATTCTTTTGTTCATAATGAAAAAATTTTAATTTTAATTTTTTATTTATAAAAAATATTTTTATATAATATAAATTTATAATTAATAATAAATCATATAAAATAAAAATAAATAATGTTTAAAATTATTTTTAATAGATGAAGAATATTTTTAAAAATTTAAAAAGAGTCGTGTTTTAAAAAAAAAAATAAGAGAAAGCTCCTTCTAGAGCTTGTTTTTAAAAAGTTACTTATTTTTTAAATTTTTTTAAAACTTTTATTTGATTTGACTTTTAAACTGAAAAAAAAAAATCAAACAAACACTAATTAATAAGCCATCAATGTTTTTGTCAATTTTGAACCAGAAAGTAGTAATTTTTTTATCTAGTTGTTAAGTACAATTAATTTTATTTTGACAATGGAATTGGCAAATTGCAATTGCCAAATTGGAATCACAAAAAATTTAGAAATTAAATTTTTTGGCTGTTAGTATTATTGATAAAAATCATATATCAAGAGTTAAATTTCTTTCAAAGCCGATTCTCTAATTGGCATATTAACTTGTGTTGTAATTTTCTCATTTCGAATATTATGATCCTTTGATTCCCTTTTCATTTTTCTCGCTAATAACAAACGAACGAAGACCTAAAATTAGGTAGCATGCAAGAAGTAAGACCGACCAATCATAAGAAACTACAGTCCCCCAATTTTGAGTCATTGACCAACCAAAAAAAACTAAAACAAAAATCTACAAAAGCAAAGAAACCTTAAGAAGTCTTACCTTTTTTTTTTTTATGAAAATAAAAGGCCAGACATTTGAATTTGAATTTAACTAAAATTTCTCAAATTGCCTTGGACCTGCCCCTTAACTGATAGACTCGTGGCAGGCTCGAGCCAACGTTGGCAAATGGCAAGCTCAGAAAAAGAAACATTAATGAACTTTCCAATTTAATTTAAGCAAATGCTTTGATGAGAGGTGAAGAATTGAGGCCGCCCTACAAGACCAAAGGCACAAACGCGTCAACATGTAGACACAGCCCAGAGTCTCCACCCAGATTTTTAAATGTTGTCTGGTTCCAATTTTCGCGCAACAGCCGCATTTCCACCTGCC